ATACTATTTGAATCCCAAACTGACAGATTCAGTAAGGCGGGAATCCTCGGGACATCGCTGCATATAGAAGGACTTGATCTCCACAGGAAATCGACACAGCAAGATAGGCTCATTAATGGTGTCTGTCATCAGTCTCTCAGGAGCTTCTGGGATATCCTGAGGTTAAACAAGACTTCATTAACATTTACAACTCGAAAGGCAACGAGACAGAAGCAGCTCTTTGACCCAGTAGCAGCCCTTCATCTTATTCATGCAACGGAGTCCAGAATACACACCCACCCATAACCCATAACCACGTGGGTGTTAGGGACAATTTCTGCAAAATGAACTGTAAATAGATCTATCTCCTCCTGCAGTATATCTGTGCCATATTGCTTGAGGAACGAAAACACACACAAAAAACAAACAACCTCCCAGATACTGCTCAGTTATTTTTTTTTCCCAGTGGCCAGTTTTATCTAGGTCTGAAGCAAACGCAGTCCACTCAGTCCCACAAGGCATAAGATCATCAGTGAATGCTCCACAACATCAGTGATCTACACACAGAGTATGTTATTAATAACACCAATCTTTAAACTCTCCTGTTCTCTCTGCTTCTTTCCTGTTACAATAAACCTGCATGCCTTCAGTGGCAGTAAGACACAGTCATAAGACAAATAACCAGTGTCAAGTTTGTAAGTGTAACCACACCTGGAGTAGTTAGCCAAGACAGGTTAGATGATGATGAATCAAGTTAATCTGCTTCCCTCTCAAACATCCTTCAGTAAGCCACACATAAATTCAAGTTAAAACTGAAAACTCTTGTCCCAGTAAAAACAGATTGAGAGAATTGGACAAGACTCATTGATTTGTTTAATGTAAGAAACTGAGAGGGGGCTTAGCCATCACCTGGCACAGCTGTTTTCAAGCTCTCATCCCTGGAGCCCTGCGTCGTCTAAAGTCCAGAGAGGAAACGGGAGGTGAGTGGGAGAGCTCTGGTCTCTCCGCCTGTAACCGCTTTACATACTAGGGTCCTGCATACAATTGAACTGGGGGAAAAGGGGTCGTACTGCACATTCCGAAAAGTTTGAAGACCTCTTCTCTACTCTAGCGCCCTCATGTGTATGGGATGATACTGACACAAAGAGGAAACGCTGACACACATGGAGGACTTCCTGCGCCTCGGCCCTGCTAAGCATTTAGCTCATTAAGTTCTCATAATTTTGCAAGGTGGACGTTACCTCCAAGGCAGAGATAGGGAACCAGAGAGCGGGGTCACTGGCCTTAAGTTAACCAGCAATAAGGACAGAGGTGGGAGCAAAGCCCAACTGGGGGGCTTCTTACTCCAAAGCTTGTGTTCTTTCCACTCAATCACACTACTTTGCTGAGCGCTGGGAGATAACAGTTCTCAGGTTTTCAGCATAGAATTTGGTTATTATACATCATCAACTGAATTCATGATACAATAAAAGTAATTTACATAGACCTAGTACACTGTCTGTCCTCTGTAAATTCTTTCTAAAAACGAAAGAAAACTCTAGTTAACAGCTATTACTCACATTTCATCTGTAAAACAGATTTGCAAATACTATGTAAAGAGTGGTTAAATGCACAGGGAAGAGGGCTTAGAATAATGTTAACAATCTATACCCCCAAAACATGCTGAGAGGGTGGTCCTGGGCAAGCAGACATGCTCAGTGTATCTGGGGCACCGGACCACCTTCCCCAACAAAGCCTTCTCTCTTGGTTTTGCATTTTAATCAGTGGCGATTTTCTTCTTTGAATTGCCTCCAAATGAAGGAGTTATAATTCACTGCTTTGGGGGGAGGAATCCTTTTTGAAAGAGCCAGACGGTTTCTCTAGAAAACCAAAACAAATGTATACACATACCAACACTTTGCATGTCATTTCAAAGTTTATAACTTTCTTAAGCATCCTGCCAGTCTAGAGAATTACAGCTGGAGCTGGTAAGTCAAGACCACAGAGTGATCCTGGAAGAGGAAAGAGATAAAGGATGGGATGTGAAGGGTACAAACTTGCTAATATTTACTGAACACTACAGAAAAGGCACTGCTCTAAGGTCTACTCTACATCTACTAAGCCATGGATCCTCAGACAACCCCAAGAAGAAGGGTCCGTGGTTATCATTTATTTGACAACAGCAGATGCCTTATGCATTACTCGTTAATTAACCGGAAGTAGCAATCCACTTAAGCACAAGGCTACCTTTGAAACAAGGACTAGAAAGGAATACATACCTCTCCAAATTCATAGAAAGTTCCATCTTCTTTCTTTATATTGTGTTCTTTTAGCCACATAACAGCATCTGAATAGTTCATCCGTTTGAAAGGCCGTTTGGGGGGCTTGAAGTTCTACAGCAGAAAGGAGAAATACAGTGTATATAAAGAAACCATTCACACTAACGTTTCCATTTTAAGAAACACTATTTATCATTATTATAAAATATTATTTCAGACTTAAAAACAATGTGGTGAATTCCCTGGCAGTCTAGTGGTTAAGACTCCACACTTTCACTGCTGAGGGCCTGGGTTCCATCCCTGGTCGGGGAACAAAGACACGCAAGCCACGTGGCACGGCCAAAAAAAAAAAAAAAATTTAGTCTGGAAATGAGTGAAGGGAGTCCAAAAGTATATACTTCCAGTTATAAAATAGGTAAGTTCCATTAACAAGATGTAATGTACAGCATGGTAACTAGAGTTAATAACTCTGTATTGTTTTAGATATATAAAATTATTATGCTGTACACCTAAAACTAATATAACGTTATATATCAATTATACCTATATATATATATTAATCATTTATTTCAAAGCTCACAAAGCTATTAAATCTATAAAAACCTAGAACAAATCTATTGAAAAAAACATAAAAAACATAAAAATCTAAAAAAAAGACTTCACTGCCTTCCGAAGCAGGATCCTAATTTTGTGTTTCCACACAATGGCAGACCTACCGGGTTGAGGTCATGCACTATGCTTGCTGCGGGTGATTTCAAGACTCTATCGACCACGTCACAGACCAAGTCCTCCAATCGGTTCAGGAGCTCCTCAAAGGTCAGGAAAGGGCACTCTGCTTCCACGTGAGTGTATCTGAGGAACAAGACAGTAGCTCAGAGCCTCTCTTCTTTTCACAAAGTTTCTCTTAAGCAAGGGTTTTAATGCTGGGAAACTGTCCAGAAAGGGAAAACTCCAGCCCTGCTAATCAACTCCCAACTCTCCCAAGTAGTTTTAGCCCACCCGCCTTCCTTTCCCCCTTAATAGTCATTTCTTGTTTATTCCTCAACACATAAAGGATCAAGACAAAGTGAATGAACAGACCTTAGTGAGTTATGGCCTAAGAGGCAAAACTTCTTAGACAGTTTCCATTAATTTATTCAACTGCACTTCATATAGCCTCTTAATACATCAGAGGTTTTTACACAAACATCATTTACTTACAACAAGATTGCTTCTCTAAACATATTTTCTTTAAAAAAAAAAAAATTTTTTTTTAAATAAAAACAAAATGACAATTATGTACTCAGCCAGGTGCCTTCGTGTTCTGGATTGTTCTGCCCTGTATGACTGTGCGATACAAAAAACATCTCCCAGAGCTGGAATGCAGGTCTCCAGGTACAGCTGAGAGGACTGAGTCAGATACGCCTCTTCCCCAAAATAGTCCAGCTTGAAGAGTGTGGCACCGCCTTCCACTTGTGTTTGCACTAACGTTGGAGGACTGATCTATTCAGGTGGAAAGGAGTAAATAAAGGCCTTCTGTGAGCACCACTGTTCAAGTTCAAAAATGCCAAGAGGCATTGTTTGCAAAGGATGATGAACGCATACTTACTTCGTAGTACCCCCTATCGAAGAAGTGATCTCTAAAGCACCTGGTGACCACAGACCGTGCTTTTAGGATTTTGGACATGTTTTCTCCCCGGATCATCATGTGTCTGTTGTTGAGCTGGACGTCAACGTCAGACTCCTCGTTGATTAAGTTATCAGCGCCTCCAGCGGGGGCCAACCCGACCAGTTCCCAGAAGTCGCAGTTCAGCTCGTGGCCCCCTGGAGCCTACATTTTTTTAAAAAGGGGTAGAGGGAGGGAGAAGCAAACAGAAAATTCACAGTAGGAAAGATTCTAATTTATATAAAAATTTTTAGTAAGCTCGTATTTCTAAGAACCTTATCATTATTAGCCTACCCTTCTAAAAACGAAGACTCGATAATTGAATTTTATATTTATTTCGTATTTCTTTCAGACTAAATACACGTACACAATTTTTAAGAAATAGAAAAGCACAAACCAGAAAATAAGATAAACTATAATCCCACGACTTGGAGTAATCACTAACTATTGTCAACATTTTGGTGTATCTTTCTAGCCTTTGCCCAATAATTTAAACGTAACATAATACACACATTGAAAAACTCCTTAAATACAAACGTTTTACTAAAACGTGTTTCTCTTTGGAACATATATATATGTAGAAAAATTCAAATTCTCCCTAATAATTCCACTGAAAGCATTACATTTTAGAAGCCACACAGTATGAAATATATAACTATCTTGGTACCAAACACTGGACAGCAAGTAATATCACAAAAACCATTCCATTTTGAAATCACATTACTTTCAAGGAAAATTCAGTAAACTTGAACCAGATATTCACTCTTAACATAGGTTCTTCACATAGACTCTGGGAGACTCTTTTATCAGCATTTCTAGTCTATCAGGAGGACACTATGGGCTCCCTCTGGTGGTTGATATGTCACGTTTGTTTGTTTTCTTTCCCAACAAATATAACCACAACTGCTACTTGACCAATAATTACCAACAAGTAACTCTAACTGGTATAGGTTACATGCCTGTTGGCTGGGGAACAAACAACTCTCTGACTATCAAACCTAGCTTTAAGTTTTTTAAAAAGAGGCTTTCAAATTCTATTTTAAAAGTTTCAGATTTATTTTATTTATTAAATATTTATTCAGCTGCGTCGGGTCTTCGTTGCAGCATGCGGGATCTAGTTCCCTAACCAGGGATCGAACCTGGGCCTCCTGCATTGGGAGTGAGGAGTCCTGACTACTGGACCACCAGGGAAATCCCCAAAGTTTCAGATTTAGACCACTGTTCTTTCCTGAAAAACTTTAGGTAGACTAAATTTTCATTTCCACTTAGCTGAAAAATTATTCACATACACACAGCAAATTGTTCTCACCCATGAAGTTTATTCAGGAATTCCTTAGGTTGAAGATCCCTGAGATCGTTACAAGAGCACACAAGCTGTACAGTATACGTATCTCACCAGAAAAGGAAAAGGCATTCTAAATTTAGCAAGTGCATCACATTTGTATATTTATATGCCAAATACCAAAAGTATCAATACAAATAAAGACACTGGAAAACAAACAAGTACACAACTCTTCTCTTAGTGAGGAACTCAACGCACTCACCTGCTTGCCCTTTGGGGTAAGATTTAGCATTCCATACACTGCGACACTACTCTCAGTGGACAAGACTACTCCATTGTAACACTGACACTGTAAGAAGATCAAGTTCAAATTCAGTTACTCACATTTACATTAAAATAGTCTACCATACAGAAAGCAAAGGGAATTACTTACAAACAAGTTCTCTCGTCCAAAACTAGTAAAATAAGACAGCCATCATTCATTCATCTATATACAGATACACACATATATATGTAAATACATACTTTACATACATGCACATGCATAAATGACACTAGTCCACATCACTCAAAAGTATCTGGAAAGTTCATTTCTCTTTTTCTTTAAAATTTAGACTATTAAAATAATACAGAGAGTTCATTTAGACTACGATAATCAATACTGGCTAAAATCATTAGGAGAAAAGTGATGGAAAACTTTATAAAGGAGGGATCAGGCCATCAACATCTGAACCCACTAATCATAAAGACAACCAGAATTATGTGCTTCTTGATGTGATGTCAGTGGAAGAATACAGCTTTGTCCATGAAGCAGTTATACAAGAAGCAGCAGCAGCAGAACCTGAACCTGACCAGACCTAACCTCCAGCTTATAAGAAATACAAAGGATACAGGAACATGTTAAATGACACCTTATGATGCAATCAACCAAATCCAGAATGTGAGAAGTCCCACAGGACCAATGACCAGACTTTTTCCAATAAATGGCAAGGGGGAGTGGGGTGGAGAAAAGAGAATGAAAAGGGAGATCTGTTATAGATTAAGAGTGATTTCAGAGACATATCAACTAAATGCAACATGTAGATCTTGTTTGGATCCTCATTCAAACCAACCAACTGTAAAAAAGACATCATGAATCAATTGGGAGAATCTGACTGGATATTTAGGAGTTGTGCTAATTTTGGGGGCGTGTGATAATGGTAGTGTGGTTATATTAAAAATATTTCGTCTTGGTGATGCATATGCAAGTATGTTTATATGAAATATGATGCCTAGGAGGTAAAAGGGGGGAGCAGTAAACCAGAACTGGCCAAATATTAATCATTACTTGTTATGGACTTAACGTGTATCTGCTGCAAATTCATGTCAAAACCCTTCTCTGCTCTCTGCTATGTGAGGATGAGCACACAACGGGAAGTGGGTAGTCTGCAACCCAGAAAAGGGCCTTCACCAGAACTTGACCATGCCAGCACCCTGATATGGACTTCCAACCACTAGAACAATGAGGAATAAACTTCTATTGTTCACAAGCCACCCAGCTGATGGTACTTAGTTATAGCAGCTCAACTAAGATGTTATTGAAGCTGAGTGATGGGCATGTGAGGTTTCTTCCTACTGTTCCATTTTTGAGATGTTGGAAATTTTCCACAATAACAGTTAAAATAAGTACAGACCCTAAGATTCCCAAAACTAACAATAAAGTAACCTATTGAAAAAAACTGACTTTTCACCGTAAATATGAAAATATTTACCAAATCATCTGACAAGACACACTGGAGATAACCCGTACCATCCCGCAACACCAGAAACATTAAATTCTTTCCTAAAAACGAGGAAGAGAAGTTTAGCTAGATTGTTTGAGAGGCACTTGAAAGCACTTTCTCATAATTTATTCTCATGTAAAGGAACCGCCACGGTTAAATGTTGCAAGTTCAAACCTCCCACATGGCCCCATTCCTCTGAAAGGTTCACCAGTAGTGTCACTACTCAGTATCTGCAAAGTATTTTGCCTTCTTCATTTTTCAAACCCTTCATATACTTTTAAACCCTATGTGAGCCTCCTGACCCACACGATCATGGGAAAGCAAGACAGTAAGCATGTGAGTCGAGGGATTAAGTCTTATTCACCGTTGAGTCCCCTGCAATACCTAGCAAAGCGCATTCAGCGGGGGGTGATATATACTGCCGCACAGAAGCACTCTTGGTTTTTTATGCCCCCTTTCTTTTTACGAAGGATTTGACAACCACTTACGATAAAAGACATGTAATAAAATAATAAAAGCAGAAAGAGAAAGCAAAACATCACGACCAAGTACAAATATACTAATTATAAAAATCAACATCACTGCCATCAGTAAGTTTCAGATTTGGCTCTGCACTTCCGGTAATATACCCCCTGCTTTCCTTAAAGAATTCAATTCAATTAGACAAATATTTCCTGGATACCTCCTGATCACTGTGACTGCTTACAGTTAAGTACCATTTAAATAATTTTTAAACTTTCAATAGTCATATTAAATAAGAACCAATTTAGGATACAAATTAGTACTCCCTTTAAAAAGCTAGCATTCTCAAACAAAAATACCCCCAAGTAAACGTGTTTTTTTTTTAATGTTCTTCACCATCTAAGAGCAGGGATATTGAAAATTAAAGAGAGAAAAGGACAGCTATGCCAGTTACCTTGCCTACGCAGCCTGTGGACCCAGCCAAATACCTTTACTCTTTGGCCTCTATATCCTTCTAATTCACGAATCTTCACCTGTCAAGTTAAAATAAAAAACATTTGACCCAGCATGTCATTTATCACATACCAACTTTGTCACGAATATTATATAGATGGCAGAAAAGTGTTAAAAATTCACAAGTGGTGTAAAACTTCTGACAGTCACTCTACTACAGGTCAGAGCCAAAAAATTTCACCACACTGGAGGGGTTAAAAAAAAAAAAATCCAAGTCTTCTTTCTCTTACTGCAAAACTGTCAGTGAAACAACCAGAACTTCAGATATTGTTATATAAAATCAACGAATTCACAATAGCAACAAGCCTAGTCCACGCAGAGCCCTCTCCCTGACCTAACCATCCCTCCCACCACTCTGGGTGGTGGAAGCTACCTAGGCTGGCTTTTCCTCTGAGGGATGGAGGAGAGAGGGGAGGGGAGGAAAGGGTTGGTGGGTGTGGCCAAGCGAACAGCTTCCCCACTAAGGAAGCAAGAAAAAAATGGCAATCCAGCAGCAGTAAGAACCGTTCGAATTCTAACCATGTCCATTCACAGTCCAGCATTCTGGTCTACAAAGAATATAGACATAATCAAATTTCAAAAACTTTTTCTTTATTTAAGAAATCATGAAAATCTTGGATTTCAACCTCTTCTTTTTACTGTGAGGAAACTGATACCCAGGGAGGGTAAAATCACTTGTCTGAGACCACACAGCTCACCAGGCCTGGATTCCAGGGCTGCTAGCTTTTAGTCAGGACAGAATTCGTTCAACATGCAATTACTAAATTTTATCAAAAGATGAGCCCCGCAAGGACCAGCCTCATAACTCTCAAACATTACTGCGCTCTCTCCCTTTTGAAAGAAGAGAAGAGACAAACAGTGCAAAGGAACAAAGCATGTGGCATGCCCCTCAGACACAGAAATAATAGTTTGACCCCGTGAGTCCATGATATTTGAAACGATACACATCACACTTACACAATTTGGCTCTGGAAGACTTGGGTCGTTTTTAATGGTAATCTTCTTTGCTTCTTCCAGGTTCTTCTCTCTTCGTAAATTGTCTTCTACCTAGTTTTAATAACCAGGCAATTTGTTAACATGGCTTCTGGTGTCCCAACTTGAAAAATGTTCACAGAGCAAATCTACTGCTCACCTCTTTCTTTTCCCGGGATTCACTCTTCATCTGTTCCCTGTGCCACAGTTTTCTAATGTTCTTCATCTGTGATTTAGAAATAACATCCCATCTCTGGAAGGATAAACAGATATTTAATGTTTTCAAGACCGCTGTATTCTAATGAAAGTTTCTTCACAAAATCTAATTCTATAAAGCTTTGGGTTCACCCTACCTCGTTTTCTTTTTGTGAATCTACGTAGATGGTAGGAAAGGGTTCTTTTCCAACTGTCATCAAAGCCTTGGGGAGGGAGGGACAAAGAAAAAAGACATTTCTTTAACATGGTACAATGTTTAAAATCAAAATAACACCTGAATTATGAGGTAGCTTTGATCACCTAGAACATAATCGAGAGCCCAGAAGAAAGCATAAGACCTCACCAGCCAAAGGTCAATGTCGACAAAAGGAATGGCGGAACATTCAAAGAACATTTTGCTTAAGGTAGAACGTCCTTTCCCAAACAATTATAGCAAGTTCAGTTACACAGTATATAGTTTCCCATGTGGACTAGAAACAGCAGATTTTAAGTGGCCCTGGGGACCGACAGGAGGTACGCTGACAACAACAGAAGAGACAGCTGATGGCAAAGGCCAACTGCAGGGCACATCCAGACGATTAATCCTCACGAAGAAACCAGGGAAGTCATTTCTGAAACTCTCTCAAGAGCATAGTGGTTAGGTACACAGAAGGCTAAGTTTCATTTAATTGGAAAAATTCCTGTGTGTAGAATGTATGTACCTCTTTTCACCAATACTGGGACATATCAGACATCAATATTATCATTTAATATTTTATAGTTTGTATTCGTTTTTTTAAAAAATAGATAGTTGAAAGTATGTAAAAGGTGTTTTATTAACTGTTTCAAATATTCCTTCAAATTTTCTAAGTTATCATCAACCAACAAATGCAATGAATGACTGTCTCTCGTGTAAGATCTGAAGCTTATGAAAACTGACCTTTTCTTAAGATCTAGTTTCCAAACCTGAAAAATACTTTTCATCTTGATTTAACACTAGTCTC